AGGGATCGAACGCAGAACCTTCAGGTCATAAGGCGATCCTGTTGATCATTCAACCACTCAGAAATCTGTGAATTCGCACTTTATCAGTTCTTAATACAGTACTACCCTTGAGCATTGCCTTCGACTAGCATCAGCTTCACCTTGACCTGATGGAAACAACTCCTCATGACTTGTCAGTACCGTATCAGGACACCCATTAAGTAGCCATCAATATGCTGAAAACAGATATTTAGATTCTGGGTATTTTTCAGGGATTTCAATGCAGATTTCTTCACGAACCAACATCAGTTACAGATTTTGGTACATACCAAAGCACTTTAATCGAACTCATACAGTCAGTCAGGCGATAGTCTACGGCGGAAGAGTTGTCATCTGAAGTGGTGACAGCCAGGGATGCCCACTGTCACCATCTCCGTTTAACTTCATTGTAGATGTACTAATGAACTTAACCCAAACCGACTTCAGAGACTCAGTGATTGACTTGTTACCAGGGAATAATAGTCTCGTTGACTTAGAATATGTAGATAATATAGTCCTTCTAGGTGAAGATGTTGGCAGAAATCTGCAAATGTTTGGCATGAGATTCACTCTCGTCAAATGTAAGATGATGCTACAGGACTGGATTACATCGACTTATTCCTAGCTTGAAGATAGGGAGGTAGTGAAGGCACCGGTCGAGTGCCAGCTAGGTAAGGAGGAGGAAACGATCGACGACGTTGTTAAGTTACATCGGTTGAGACGGTTAGTACATGTGTTACGCATTTTATGTCAGCTAACATAGGATGGGTCAGGTTGGAAAAGAGGTAGTGGTGGTCAAACCAAAACTTGGAATCAGTCCATGAAATCTTTGACAGTTAGCTTAAGGTAGCCAGCCACATAGGGAGGTGTAGGCTTGCTGGTTGGGGTCCTTGGGATGGTAAGAACCATTGAAGGCTGGAGACAATTGGTGAAATGGCTCAAAATCCTCGTTCTTGATAATAGCGTAGATGGATTCACTCTCTGTGATTTATAATGTACAATAAAACTATATTGTTCTGCCATATCCCTTTTATGCCTCATATTTCTGTTTATTATCTCTCTTTTTTATCTGTTTATACTCTCTTCTCTTGCTTTGTGTGCTACATGGAGGGAGTGTGACAACTCGAACTGGTGAACATCTGTGCAAAGTTCTACATTGAAACAGGTCAGTCAGAGATCATAGAAAACCAAGAAGCAAATGACACTGCAATTGATCCACATTCCTACATAAACTCATAATTTAAATATCATGTTTGTGTAATAGAATACCGTATTTTGAACAAATTCTATGTTTTTGGATTTCACGCATAGCTCAATCGCTTGATTTGATTAGTCACTTGCAATTATCACCCCAGCTTTATTAGAAGAAGTCTGAAAATCAGAAGAGACTCAAAATTCCTCTAAAAGAGGATTGACAGGAGTAGTTGTACACCAACCAAATCAACTAGCAATGTTTGCCAGCCAGACAGATAGAAGTAGTCTAGTCAATTAGTAGTGTGTGCTACTGATAAGATTTGTCAGTAGTATATATATAAGAAGAGACGTTCATCAGTGCACAGAAGTATCAAATAGCAAGGAGACATATTTGATGTCAGAGAAACCAAGCGATATAGCGTTGCCGAGATACACGGGAGATGTGAAAGGAACACAGAAAGACAATATGAAGGCAGGCGAGAAGTAGCACAACACGGAAGATCTGTGTAAATTGTGCGTCGAAGATGAGGTGTTAATAATTTCGCTATATAGAGATACCAAATTCCGAAAAAACATTCCTTTACCAAGTCTCTTGTCTTTTACCGTTACAGTTTTCCTCATTTATGCTTGCTGTCTCAATTCCTGTTAATGGTATCGGGTAGATCACTTATTGTGATCTAAATAATTTTACTTTCTAAAAGGAGCTGTGATTTGAAATTCTGCCTCCTTGAACTGTGTTAATTGCATACTGGATCTAAGGCATTACCAGTTCGCCAAAGTAGCTAGGGAGAAATCTGACGGCTTGAACTGATTCGGCTTTCTGAGCTGAGTCATACACGGTGCTCCGCTGATGATCTCGGCCCTAAATGAGCGAAACGGTCGTCCGCTGTTTAGATCACTTCGGTCTGGCTAGCAAGGACTGCTGGTTAATTTTGAGTGGAATGCAACTACTCATCACAATCAACCAGTAGTATATAGTTTTACGTATTCACATATTATTAACCACCATTTTGTATATTTCTCTTCGTTTTTCTTGATAACTAACCTAGAATGTTCATAGATTTTTTCCCAGTCTACTACTGTGTCATTTTTTGTGCTGTATAACCATATTGAGGCTAGAACTTTAGATGGCGCATTAGTCAAGCTAATCCGCCTGTGATTATCACAGGAAAACTTCTCTCCCTTCTTGTATATCGGGATAATCAATGACTTACACCAACCCGATGGGACTTCCTCTGATTCCCAGACGCTGTCTAGTACCTTAGTAAACGCAGACAGTAAACTGTCTCCACCGTACTTAAATACCTGTGGAGTCATTCCATCAGGTCCTGCTGCTTTGCCTTGCTTCAGATTAGTGACAGCTTTAGTAACCTCAGTTAAGGAAGGAGGACCTGTGTCTATATCCCATTTAGGGAGGTGTTGGGTGCTCGGTAAGTTGAGTGTGGCTGTAGGCTAATTAAACTGCTCCTCAGTGTTCTTTCCAGCGCTCCAGTCGTTTGTCCTGGGAGCCAATTATGGTGCCATTTTTCTCAGATTGTTTCACTTATCATTTGGTTTTCGCCACCTGTTTCCCTCATACGTCTTAATAGTTGTCTGGTGTTACCAATCGCCGATCCCTTTTCCATCTCTTTCGCTTTTGTCGCCCACCACCGTTCACGGTCGTTACGAAGGCTTCTTGTTAGTTTTCGTTTGAGTAGCTTTCGCTCTCCATCATAATCGGAGCTCGTCAGAATAAGTCTTCTTGCGTCAATCAGTTCGGATGAGGCAGTAGAGATCCGGTGGCTCTTACTAACTTTTGGTTTTAGCTTGTTAACAGCTTTTAAAGATGTATCTACAGCTTACTGTATGTTGTGCCAGGCTACCTCAGGGGAAATCCTGCTGTCGACCTCACACACTCGTTTCGCTATTTCTTCCTTAAATAGGGAATCAGTATCTCGATCTAGTTGGGGACGTAACTGTTTTGCTGCCAGCAATTTCTTATGTCCGTTTAGTCGTAAGCATAAACGTGCGTGGACCAGAGCGCGATCGGAGTCTACGCACGTGTTCCAAAAGGAGCGGCAGTCTTCTACTGACCCTCGCCAACGATACCCTATGGCTATGTGGTCTATTTGAGTCCAACGTTGATTTGGCGATGGGTTCATAGACACGTATGGACAATGTCCTGAACAGCTGTATATTAAGCTTTATGTAGTCCTCTTTTATTATTTTTATTTTCAATTCTTGTTCTCTCCGGTTTCTTTTCAATTACTTCCAAGCGATTATTCATCGCTGAACTAATTAGTTGTCAATATCCTCATGACTACGTAAAATTATTCTAAATTTTCCAAATAGTGCTACTTCGCATACACTTTGACTCAATTTTTTACTAACTAACAATGACCTCTGACCTTTGTTGTCAACTAACATCAAGTGAAGTTACGAAAAGAGATCTCTTTGCTGACTTATGACTTGGGAATTTTTCATACCTTGAACACAGTTTAGTTTGAAAACATGAACAACCAAATCTTTTGCCACCACCAGTAATAATACAGCTCACTCTCTTTGAACTACTTATGTTAAATTTATAGATTAATTGGCAATGTATGTATCTCACTAACGAAGATGTTTTCTAACTCACACGTTCAACCCTCACGTACTAAACAAGTTTACGCCATCACTACTAATGCATGCTACAAGCAAAATTCTGAGTCCTTAATGCATTGTTTTTTATTTCATAAAGTAATACCCTTACTGTTTTATCAATAATAGCGTGTTTCACCGTTCACCTTATGAGTTAATCATGAGACATACTCAAAAACGGTTTACGCCATTTGTTACTTTGTCATTCTGAATTCCTTTCCTTCCGACAATCAATTACCTGAAATAATAAAATCTAGCGCAGTACGGTAATTTCCAGGGAAAAATCACCTACTTCTAACGACAGATTATTCCGTCATCCTTTACGGTTGTGAGATGTGGCCATTGAAAGTGGAAGATATGAAGACTCTAGTTGGTTTTGATAAAAACTGTCTGTATTTTATCTCCCATGTTAAGTGGTACAGTAGGATGACCAATACTGAGGATAGACGTTCAGTGTTAGTTAAGGACGGGAAGTCAATCGACGAGGTTATGAAGTGACATCGATTAAGACGGCTATAACATGTGTTACGTACGCCTAGACATCGATGATCAATGTTAGCTGACATACGATTTCGTTGAAAAAGTTTTATGGGAATCAGCTCATGAAATAATTGACAGATGTTTCGAGTCACTTCTTGGTTGGGGTCCTCGGGATTCTAAGAACCAATGACTGGAAACGACTAGTGACATCACTCAAAATCGTTTTCAGTGTAACCCTTCCTAATCTCACTTATCCACTACACCATCTTACATTTCTGTTAATTATTCTTCTTTTCTCTCTCTTTTCTGCCTTTTTGTTTCACGGAGTGTAGCAAATTGAACTGATGCACTTGATATATTGAAAGCATTCGGTTAAATTACTGATAAAGCAAAAAGCTTTGCTTTAGAAGTCGATCTGACAAAATGCAAACTGATGCAGCACAAGTCTACTTACAATGAGAGTTAAGTATTCAACGCAGGCACCTGCTTCATGCTGTCTAGTTTATTCAAGCACACTGTTAACCAACAACTGTAAACTTTGGTATAGCATCTAGTCAACTTAGTTCTACAAATTGGAGAAGGCCTTAAAATAATCTTTCACCCATAGAAACCAACATAGGCCAATTATTCACTATTATTGTCTCAGTAAATACATGGGTTTAAAGTGTCTTCAATTATGAACAACAACATTTATGATACAGGATTTTGTAAGCTATCTTTATTTGAATCGAACACTTGAAATAATGGTCGTAAAAAATATTTCGCCAACATACTGTACACAAAGGTATACTTTCAATGTTCAAGTTAAAAGATAGTTAAAAAATAAGCTATACATTGTAAATCCATATCATCACAATGATGAATCCAGTCTAGCGGCATGCGTTCGAATCTTGCCAAATATCTTGTTTGGTGGAGCACCTAATATAAGATCACATATTGCACGTCGAGCTACAGCTATACGATCATTGCTACCAAGAATATGTATAGTTTCATCTGCAACAACTATACGAGTTCGTGTAGCATTTTCAATGCACATACGAATACGACCTTTAGCACCACAGATACGTCCAACTGCTCGAGCCATGTGATCACCCTAAGACAGAAGAAAACAGAATGAAAACCAAGAAAAATTAACTGATGCTACTCCAGATATCTTTTTGAATGTATCTGGGTCACACACACATTAAATGGAATCCCATTAGAAAATGGTAAATGCATAAAATTGTATCCTTGATAGTCAGACCTTTAAATTAAGACATGTAAGCGACAAAATTAAAAAAAACACAATCAAAACGAAAAACAAAGCATTCCAGAACGACCTTTTGTGTATAATGATAGCTACTACCTTAAACTAGTAAGGATTATGGAGGTTCTAAGACAATACCTATTTTTCTTTATAACTGCAAAACGTAGCCACGATGTTGAAATCTCCTCATAATCTGAAAAGCAGTCAAGTCATCTTTCCCAGACAAAAGTTTTACGAAAGAAGACTGAAGCATTATACTTATGTAACTTAACAGGGTATTTATGAGAGAAATAAAAAGTACTTTACACGTCTTTGCTTGAAGCAGAAAGCGTTTTAAATAAAATATGACAGAACTACAGGGGAAGAAATGTGACTTTCAATGGTTTACAATAAAGTCACTTAACTTGAGACAAATCAGAATATATTGGCATGCAACCTTCAAGTAATATACCTCACAGTGTGTACTACGGTTAACTTAGTGAAGAATGAAGTACGCCAGACAGACAACTGCCAGAGGAAAAACAATATTAAAACGTAGGAACCTATCTAAACACACATAATACGCAACATTTAATTTTCTTTGTTGATTCATATTTTGTCAAATTTTCTCTCCATCTAAGAACTAAATAACTATATCAGGAAGTTAATTTCGATCTCACTCTTAAATAAAGTCATATTCGCTTTCCCAGTAGAATCTGTATGTCATTTCTATGAGCAACTTACATTGAGCCACAATTGTGTTACATCTGATGCAATACGTCATGAAGTTCACGTTTGTATTGAGTGAAATAAATGAACTAATATGGAACGGATTCTCTATGTACCACGTTACGAGCCAAACAGACTGAGTGGAGAGGTGTAGTTCACTGGCTTATGCTCTCGACTTGCCTCATATATTTCAACAAGAGCTGTTGGGTAGTATCATCAGCCCTTACATAATGAGCGTGACTCAGCCTAGTGCATGAAAACTCTGTGTTTTATGAGAGCTATTGATACTACACAGTCTCTTAGGTTGAAGTAGGTGGAGTGAGGTTCGTGCCTGACAGACAATGGTTGAAAATAGTGTTATGGCCAATGAACTACACTCCCACAACTAAATTCCATATGATATGAAAATCATAGCCTGGAACATATGGGATGAAAGTTCTTTAACAACCAAAAACTATTGGTGAGATAAAAATTAATATTTACAACTAGACTAAGAACTACAAACAGAACACCAAAATCATATAAATCCTGTCTTTAGTTCGAATGTCAAAACTTTAGCGCATTTTAATCTACACCGCATTACGGCTTTTTCCACTAATTAGGTCAGATGCCATAGCCACGTCTGGTGTTTTGCAACACGAGTTTTGTGACTAATCAAGCATTCGACTAGTTTGGGGATCGAATCGCCTACTGTGTAGTATCATCAAACTTCATACATTGTGCAGCTTAAAGCCTGGTACCGCGTAAATGAGTTCTAAGTAACTTGAAAAACCTGAAAAGTTTGGTAATATTTCTCTATAAGGAAAGACAGTATTTAAAAGTTTTGCGATTCATCCAATTCAACTCTACCCCTTAGTACACCATTTACATTATCTTTATTCTTGTCTTATGTGTATTGAATGAGCAGCTTCTAGTGCCACTTAATGCCTTTTACCGTAATATAAATACGATTTTACAGCTTGAAAGTGAAGTTGAAAAGTGATATTTCCACGCTGAAAAAGAAAACTGTTTTTCCTGAACAATTATTTATTTCACATTGGTGGGACAGTTAAATATCTCACAATTTCCCAAAAAATCTAGTCAGGCGGATGTCCATAATTCAACAACCATCTTTACAAAAGCCAAAAACAATTCGACTGGCCAATGTGTTAATGACGCTTTACTTCATGGAGTTTCTTCCGGTCCTTGGTCTCGTTAGGTGTCATACACACGTCATTTTACACGTCCTCCACCGTAATGTGTAGACCGGTATCGAGGTGTTGATAGGAACTCGCAGGAATCTGAGTCCTTGGCAGAACGCCTGAATTAACAGTAAAAATACTTGTGTCTTGCTCAGTTTGGTGTTTAGCTGAAGTAGCAGATGCACTTAATTTTCTTACGTCGATCTGTTTGGGATGGCCTTTAAGATCAGAAAATTGCACCAGAAACATGCCACACACTAAAAAAAGGTCTGGACTCAGACGAGTGCACCAGATGGTGTGGCAGTACTTTATAAGTTCAATATATCAGCAGTTCATAGCAATCTGATGTGAGTACAAGAGTGAGTGGCAGAAGCCGACACCAAGTAGTGAACACTAAGGCGATTTCCGTGTCAGAAATTGATGCTGGTTAAAAGTCATGGTCAACACAAGCTGTGGTAAACAATTGTAACTATTTGGCTTACGACTACCTAATCTCCACTGACCACATAAACAACTCCATCCGGTTTAGCTACCGATTGGCACATACAATCCCTTTGATAACACTATATCTTTCGAGAGTATTTGTTTGAGATCACGTAGCTAAAGACAGAAATATTGCACCGTCATTCGTTGGCAGAGGCAAGAATCAGATAACGCTTATCTGGCGACTTGATCATTAATTTGGCCTAACAGATGGGAGTCCACGACTGATAAGACAGTTCTTTAATCAGCACTCAGTTTGTCACAGATATCATTCAAACCGCACACCGATGTGATATGATGACTTGATAGATACAGTAAAATATACATTTAGTTGACTGACTCGCCTATTTCGGAGCTTGTAAGTTTGTCTCTGAGATACGACAAAAATCAATAGTGAAACTTCCTTGGGTTTTAGCTCAATTGGTGTCGATGTGCGAACATTGCAAAAGGATGTTGGGAACCGAGTTCCAGAAAACTGTTTACTTACTCAACGAAGCACACTGTATATTGAAATCTCAAACAGTAACAAGCAGCCAATGAAAGCGAATGTATAGACAAAAATAAAGATGCTTGTGTACAAGGATAAAAATACACTAGTCAAAAGGATGGCTGGAAGTAATTTAATGAAGCAAGTGACAATTGGTGAACGCGTGCCGTTAAATCTGTTTCTACATTAACACTAAAGCTTTCTGGTCAAGTACACCTATGAGTTTCATCACATATGAGTAAATTTCACTCAACGATACACAGGCTTACCATTAAAATATATCAAAAATAACAATAAATAACACATCGAGGGACAATTAATCGTCTAGGACTTGACACAATCAGAATCAAGACAAACTAAAGAAAATCCTAACCAAAACACGGATGTCAAAACAACAGAAATAGACGAAGTGAACTTACTTTGAGTGTCTGCTTAACATCCATTATGTGGAACGAATCTACGTAAATCCCATCTATTCTTACAACCGCTAGGGCATCCTCATACTTGAAACCTTTCAAAAAGGCATTCACAAAATCACAGCCCTTCTGCAAATGCTGACTATCACGGGTTTCTGATGACGGCTTCATGAAAATTTTCCAGGTTTTCTTGTCAGTTTTCATGCAGACCATCAACTTGAGCTGCTTTGTCAAAACCTAGATAAGTTTTCAAGGTTTCTGCTTCATCTAACCTCAACTATTGAAGGCCATGAACTACGTACGGGTGTTCTTCGATTTTTAGGGACAATCAATGTCCGCACCTCGCTTAATTTGCTATCTGTTGAAGACATGTGCGAAGCTTTCAATCTGTGAACGACGGCAAACCGACCTTGTGAAGGTCATACATCATCCAAAGTCTAATTGACGAGCATGTATACATAAACAACTGGCAGTCTCGTGCAAAAATAGGTCATCTGGATCACATGGCGGAATGCTGTTACTATGCAAAGTTTTCGAGGGCTACTCAGAATAGTGACAGGGCATGAGACAGGATGGAATGTTACTTTCAATGATACATTTAAGGTCGGTGATCGAAAGTTAAGGGCGATGCCTGATCTGCCATTCAAGGATAGAGTTGAAAAGAGAAAATCCATGGCGGAGTCAGTGGCCCAGGCAGATAAAGAGGGGAGACCCTAAGATATTGGTCTTTCGAGTGGTGGAATCTCAGAAACTTGTGTTGCTGTGACCTCTGTTTACAGGTCGAATGAACATACAGATTTTTCATCATTCTGTACAAAAGCAGGTAATCCAGTGTTTTTTCTTTTGCTTTCCAAAGAAGTTCTGGCTGGAGTTAGGAATTTTCATTAGCAGTGGTGTTTGTTTACGCGGTGTGTTCCTATACTGGCGCTTAATTCTCCTTCTCTACCGGACTTACGACCGGCCAGGTTAGCCTCAGGAACTTGTCGGCCGTAGATCAAGTCACAGACCACCTGCTTTGTGGTTCATTATCCTGCCGCTAATTGGGCTTTCAGAGCAAGGAGTACTGTCCGAACGACTACATTCTGATGTTACAGAAACCACTTAGAGATAGTGTTTAATGGTTGTGACCGTCACAACACTCGCGTTTATGTGTCTCTGCCAGAGCAGGCAGTCGTTAATCGGAAATGAAGTGGAGTCCAAAGCTGGTCCAAAGCTAGAAAAGCAGCTGGACCAGATGAAATACTCCCGGAAGCACTGAAAGCGAACCCAGAGACGACAGCAGATATGCTGACTCCATTATTGCAAAAGGTCTGGAAAGAGGGAAAAGTGCCTACTGACTGGCGGAAAGGTTACCTCGTGAAACTACCAAAGAAGGGCGACCTAGGACTCTGTAAGAACTGGCGAGGAATCATGCTCCTGTCGACGCCAAGTAAAATTCTGAGTCGCATCATCCTGGAGAGAATAAAGGACGCACTGGATACAGAACTCCGACCAGAACAAGCTGGATTCAGGAAAGGCAAATCATGTTCTGACCAAATTGCAACTCTACGCATTATCATCGAACAAAGCATGGAATGGCAATCAAATCTCTATCTAAACTTTCTAGACTTTGAGAAGGCCTTCGACAGCGTTGACCGCGAAGTAATTTGGAAACTACTCGAGTACTACGGCGTACCCCGAATATTCATTAACCTTATTCAACAGCTGTACGACAATGGCACATGTTAAGTGATCCACAACGGAAAACCCAGCGAAGCGTTTGGAGTAAACACAGGAGTCAGACAAGGGTGCTTATTATCACCAATGATATTCCTAATTGTGGTGGACTGGATTATGCGTCAGACAGTGGAAAACGAGAAGACAGGGATATCCTGGACCGACGTGAAAAACCTAGAAGACCTGGATTTCGCGCGTGGATGATTTATTTTTGATGTCACACAAAATCGAAGACTTACAAGCGAAAACCGACGAACTGGTCGAAGAAGCAGCAAAGACAGGACTCCAGGTGAACACAGACAAGACGGAGGTTATGAAAATAACCAACCAACCAACCAACAACAACAACAGCAGCGGCAACATCCACCGCTAATCACCATCAACGGGAGGGATTTGAAAGAGGTTACTTCATTCACTTATCTAGGGAGCATTGTCTCAACTACAGGAGGAACGGACGAGGATGTCAAATCGAGAATCGGGAAGGCGAGAAACACATTCATCAACCTGAAACCAATCTGGAAATCTTCGTCACTCAACTAAGCATCAACAACAAAATTCGGATTTTCAATACAAACGTCAAGTCAGTTTTGCTATACGGATCAGAAACTTGGCGGGTCACAAAGAACATTTCCGACAGGTTGCAGACCTTTATCAATAACTGTGCGTCGGTGGCACAGTGGTTAGGACTCTCGCCGACCATGCACATGGTCCGGGGTTCGATCCCCTGCCGGCGCACACCCGATATCTATGGTCGGCCTGAATTTGGGCTACCGATATCCATGCTGAAAATTCCACACTTGTACTGAAAATACGGTGTGGAATCAAGTTGTAAATCGAAATAAAAAAATAAATAAACTGTCTTCGTTCTATACTGAGGATTAGATGGCCGGAAAGAATCACAAAAAAGAAGCTATGGGAACAAACAAAAAAAGAACCAATCGCCCAACAAATATGCAGGAGAAAGTGGAGATGGATTGGACACTCGCTGAGAAGGCCGTTGGGTGACATCGCGCGTCAGGCCCTCGAGTGGAACCCGAAAGGTAAGCGGCGAGTGGGACGTCCAAGGGTGACATGGAGGAGATCGTGTGATGAGGAACTGAAATAGTATGGATTAACATGGATGCAAGTGAAAAATACAGCAGAAGACAGAAGCAAGTGGAGACGTGCAGTTGAAGCCCTATGTTCCACTAGGAACCCAAGGGAACAATAATAATAATGTGTTAACAGCTTCAGAAAGCATGTTAATGGCACGTGTGTCATTGTGAGTTTCGTTATTAAACAAAATGAGTGTGCTCTAATGATTGGTGTCAATCACAGAAGTCCCGTTTGCCAGTCTTACTTCGTCCTGTATCACTTGCGATAGTCCATTAATAAAAATTGGTGTCTGAAAATGAGTGACTTTGATGCCTTACATATTAATTGGGAGCAACTAACATCTAGTTGCTTCCACAGCTGTTTCAGCTGGGAACTGGCGCTGGTGGTAATTGAGTCAGCATTTACACAGCATTTGCACTCAACGACACGGTACAACAACAAAATATGACTATGCAGGGCGAGTTGGTAGTCCAAGGGTGACTTGGAGGAGGTCATGTGAAGAGGAGATGAAAACGTGTGGGCAGACATGGAGCCAGGTGAAGACCCTAGCAGAGAACCAAATGCAATGGA